ATGGCTACATGGTTATACATAAAGAACTAAAAAATCATGTTCATGCTCCCCTCTTTATAACAAGGAGACTCTTGAGTTCCTAGAACTACAGAGATACAAGCTTTTTATAGCAGTTTAATTAAAGCACAATTGCAAGACCAGTCATGAACATGTGGCTATTAGCCTAGTGAAAAGAAAAATCAATCATGGTGTGTGGGCATTTTTAAAAAAGCAGTTTGGCATTCACAAAATATTAATTGCAGGATCACTATAGTTCAATAGCTATATTTTAAAACACATGCACCAGAAGATTCAATGGTATTGCACAGAATAGGCCAGAGCCGCTTCTTCTGAAGTCTCCCAGCTGTGCTGTCTGCTCCTCCTCTTCTCTGAGTTCCCCTATGGCAAGCCACTTGCTATGGAAGCAGTCATGCGGGCTCACTCCCACTCCCACTCCCTGCTCACAAGATTTGATTGACAGCAGCAGGAGCCCCAATGGCTCTTGCTGCTGTCTATGTACCTGTGAAAGAGAAGGAGTGAGAGAAGTGCTACTACTCTCAGGCACAGGGCTGGATCAAAAGACGACACAGGTAAGTATTTAGGGAGGGCTGGGGGATGCTGATCATGCAAGGTTTTTGCAGAGAATGCACTAGGATAAAACATCTCATGTCTTTAGAACCACTTTAATGAATGCCACATTCACTTTTTCATAAATATACAATGCTTGTTATGGTAGAATAGATATATGTGGGAAGTAATGGTTTATGTTTAATTTTTTATCATTTAAATTCAATGGAGAAGGAAAGGAAAGAGAAGAAAAGTAATGATTTTGTAAATCACTTTACTTTTTTTTTTTTTTTGCAATAAGAAAAAAGGCTCTGATGTTTCACTATATTCTACTTCCCATAAACGTTTCAATGTTCATCATAAGTAAAAAAAGCTTAAGGGTAGAGCAGCAAGTCTTGTGTTAATTGATTAGGGTGCATATAATTAGAAATTTCTCTTTGTCTGGGGGGCCATGTATTTGGATATACTCTGTTGCTTCCAATGTAGTTAATAGCGTATGCAATAACTATAAATGTATTCCAATGTTTACATTGGGACCTTGGTCTGATGTAAATGTAAAATAACATATCTCCTAGAAATTGTGAATATTTGGCTAATAAATCAAATCAGATTAAAATGACATATGGTGAGTCATTCTTTAATGCGAAATATTCATAGAAATGTACCCTGGGATTTTACAGCATTGGAAATTGAAAATAAAACTGATGTTCATTTACATATTTTTATTACATCTACATAAAGTTACAAAGGCACCATCAAGTTAGTTTGTGCTCAATTCCACTGGCGCCTTCCCAAAAAAGATTACGTTATGTGATTTAATCTATATTGTGATTTGATTTTGCATTAATATGTCAGGTTTTGGTCCCAAGAGGATAGAAAAGACTGGAAGTTAAAAAAAGAGAGATATAATGAGTGTTCCCTCCCACTAATGTTCAATGTTTTAATATTTAATAAAATTGCTGATGCAGGTCAATGTCTGAATATCAACTTGTTCTACTAAATCCAGCACAAAATTAATTACATGAAAAGCAAACTGTGGCTTCAAAATTTGGTATTGCTTCTATATTATTATTGATTATCTATATGCTTGGACTGATTCTATTTGAATCAGGATCACACGTCTCTACAAAGAAACTTGGGGGCAAACAGCACTTTAAATTTATTAATTTTGACAGTAAAGAAAACATAGACGTAATACCAGCAGTGAAAGCACATATCACAGTTTTTAATGGAAGATAATAAAATAGAAATTTAATATGGGGAATTCTAAGTTCTGCTTGCTCTCAACGTTTCTGACTATGCTGTGCACTGGGTGACTCTCTAGTTGGTGTTTACCCTAAAAGTGAAAATGTGGAATTTATGTGGGAATAGATCTGTCTTTTTAAATGTTTCTATTTATGAATCAAACTTGTAGCCAGGCTCTGGACATGCACACACACTTAACAAGCAAAACGAGCTTAAAAGCAAACACCTTTTGGCCTCTGTAGCTGCAGACACTGTGGCACAATTAATTCTCAAAATGCACATTAGAAGTACAGAAGATTGTCAGGTTGTTCAAGTTGTTCTCTAGGTAGGTCAGCTTCTATTGCTCCCCTCTCCCATTAGTGGCCTGACAACCTTATAGGCTCTAATCTCTGATCTAAACTCAAGGCTGATGCTCTATGAAGGAGTGCAGGAGTAGCTGAATTGCTGAGAGAGAACAACTGAATGCTTCTGCTGTGAAGTTTGAGCATGAATTGCTGCACAGAGCTCACAGAGCTTGTTTTAAGTATTTGTAAATACTCGAATGTCCATAGCCTGGCCACAGGTTCACCCAAATTAGAAATACATTGTAGTTACCATTAGCTACAGCAACAGCAATAGCAAAATGTGTTTTGGCAATTGTCCTATCAGAGCATGTGAGAACTTTGATGTTTTTCCTGGTTAACCTGGCTACACAGTGGTGAATATGTCAGCTATATATGTATGTAAATGTGTTCCTTTATCTGAAAAAAAAATGTAACACCCCAACCCCCATCAAAAACATAGCAAAATATTTGAAAAGATTATACCAAATATTTAGAAAGGATTATCTACTGTAATACATGAACATAAAACATACTTTCACACTATTAAAAAAACAGGGCCCTTGGTAGTTTCCATTCAAGTGTGCGTAGGTAAACATTTTTCAAATGTGTAATAACAAACAGCATGGATGTAATATGATTATGATACAATTGCTGAACTTTCTTTAGCTTATGTTCAACAAAACCTACTGCATTTTGATACAGGGGTCAGTGATGGGCACTTAATGCAACCCTCCATATGACAGCCCATATCTAGAGTGCTGGATGTGGACAATAATCCAAATTAAAAGGTATGCGCTAATAACAAACTTATACAAAAGTGTATATCATCATCCAAAAAACATTAGTGTTTTAAATAAATTATAGTGTCCAAACATAAAATTAGTGTCCAAAAAATATATATATCTTCAGTGACTTGAACCAATTGTGAGAAATCCACCACCAAAGGAGATTAAATGAACTCACCAGAGCTAAAGAGAGCCTTGCTGGTCTGTGCTGTATGGGAGAGATCTGCGGTGAGCGTTAACTGTATCTCAACCCCCTTTTTTGCGATTGAAGCTGGTGTCTGTTGGACACCTTGTTTGTGAGTTTCCTTATACCTTTTTTTATTAAAGAGATAAATGAAAAAAACGTATAGCACCATTATGTTCTCTTTTTAGTCCCTGAGTGTACTGTATGCTCTCATGGAGGTATGAGAAAGAGTGGAGAAGTTCATCATAAGAGCTTGGGCTGCAAAGTTGTTTGGCTGTGATTATTATTATCTGGAAGTATCTGAAACATCACCATATCTATTTGGACATCGGGTTCATTGCTCCCAGAGCACAAGCGCTGTTGCTGGTTTATTATCTGACCAGCCATTAGCTCTGGTGAGTTCATTTAATCTCCTTTGGTGGTGGATTTCTCACAATTGGTTCAAGTCACTGAAGATATATATATTTTTTGGACACTAATTTATGTTTGGACACTATAATTTATTTAAAACACTAATGTTTTTTGGATGATGATATACACTTTTGTATAAATTTGTTATTAGCGCATACCTTTTAATTTGGATTATTGTTGACAAAATTTATTTTGGGTGGGATATGCTGCTGACACTTTGGTGTTTTTTTGTAAGTGGCGCTTTTTTCTTTTTTAATTTGGTATTGGATGTGGACAATGTTTGCTTGTGAGAAACTCTTATACCTGAAAAATGTTTTATCCTATTATGGATAGACAGATTATATACTAATTTTTTTGGATGCTTCAGTTGATTCAATATCATTTCCAGATTTTCTCATGTTATAATGTAGCAGTAATATTTTTTTTCTGTATCTTAAGTGATTTTTTAATTTGGTGCATATGTGCTAAAACAGAAATTTATAGTATCCAGTGCTTGATGTATTTCCAAATATTTAGAATTTATAATAAATGAAAAAAATAAATCATATATAAGCAGCTGGCACAACAATCAATAGAAATTGTGTAACAAGAGTAAATCAAAAGTGCCGTTCTAAAATGAAATAACAAAAAGTAAATATAAACAATATATATAAGTTGCGAATCACAAGCTATATCTCCGCGCTAAAGGGATGGTGAAGGTAACACATAAATTAAAATTATATATAGTAAAACAAAGTCATTTTAAATAACTCATAAATCAATATACAGTGACTAGAAAGAATCACATAAACTAGATCACTATAATACTAGATTACCCTTAAAAAAAATAAATAAACCAATATCCAATCAAAAACAATTATAAAGGAAAAAATATAGAAACTTCCAGCAAAGTGAAAAAATTGTGAAAAAGTTCAGTTCATTTCAGTAATGTGATATCTCTTTAACCACTAGCCTACAGGGCATTTATACCCCCTTCCTGCCCAGGCCAATTTCCAGCTCTGTCACACTGTCACACATTTGTGTACCCAAATGAAATTTTTATCATTTTTTTGTGACAGATAGAGCTTTCTTTTGATGGTATTTTATCACCTCTGGGTTTTTTATTTTTTCTTAAACAAACCAAAAACCACAGAAAATTTTGAAAAAAAAAAATGTTTTTTCTTAGTTTTTGTTACAAAATTTTGTAAATAAGTGATTTTTCTCCTTCACTGATGTGCGCTAATGAGGCTGCACTGATGGACACTGATAGGTGGCACTGATGGGCACTGATGAGGAGGCACTGGTACGTGGCACTAATGGGCATTGACCATCACTGATGGGCACTGAAAGGCAGCACTGATACATGGCACTGATATATGGCACTGATAGGCGGCGGCACTGACTGGCACTAATAGGTGGCACTGATAGGTGGCACTGACTGGCACTGTTAGGTGGCACTGATAGGCGGCACTGATGTGCACTGATAGGCAGCACTGACTGGCACTGATAGGTGGCACTGATTGGCAGCACTGATAGGTGGCACTGATTGACATTCATAGGTGGCACTGACTGGCACTGATGGGTAACACTGAAAGGCAGCTCAGATGAGCACTGATATGTGGGATTGATGTGCACTGATATGTGGCACTGATATGGCACTGATGGGCACTGGCACGAGGCACTGATGAGCACTGAGATAAGGCACTGATGGACACTGACAGGTGGCACTGATGGGGCTACACTGATCATTAGGGCACACTGATCATCAGTGCCCTGATGATCAGTGTACATGTCCCCTCCGTGGAAAGCCGATTACCGGCTCTCCTCTCCTCTCGAGCTGTCAGCGTGACAGCTCAAGAGGAGAGAAATGCCAATAACCGGCATTTTCCTGTTTACATGTGATCAGCTGTGATTGGACACAGCTGATCACATGACCGAGTCGACATCTTTGGCTCTTTCCTTGATCGGTGACACAGCGCATTGCCAAAAGCCGTGCTGTGCGCTCCCTGAGCCGCGCATGCGCAGTGAGACTAGGAGGACGTCATATGACGTCCTCCCAGAATGAGAGAACCACCTTGCGCCCGTCATATTACTATATGGCGGGCGGGAGGTGGTTAAGGTAGCTCGATCCACCATCAATGTGATCCTGCAGTGATTATCACCCCATGGAATTCAACACTCACCAGAAGCTGGTGAATACCCAGCAGTGGGAAATCAGTAGAAAGGGTGTGACCATCTGTGATGTCAGCATGCACACTGGGACCATGTGGTGTGATCACGTGACCGCTGCTGTGGGAATCCATAGGAACCAGTGTGTGGTGAGACTGTCACCAGCTGCAGAAGCTTCTGGTGAATGTTGAATTCAATGGGGTGATAATCACTGCAGGAACACATTGATGGTGGATCGAGCTACCTTAAAGAGATATCACATTACTGAAATGAACTGAACTTTTTCACAGTTTTTTTTCACTTTGGTGGAAGTTTCTATATTATTTCCTTTAAAAAGTAAATATAATTTTGAGTTCTTGTACACATTAACAGATAATATCAATAATAGACCCCTGCATGGAGCAGGTAGGTGAAAAGTAAGTATACCAAAGCCATGAAGTCGCTCATTCTTTTTATCCTTGTAAGTGGTTAGTACATTTTAATATATTTTACCATACGGTTTTACAATGTGGCTTTCCTATGTCTTTGTTGAATACTTCGTATTTGTGGATGAGATGCCCACAAAGATGTAGTGGACTGCACAGATACACAAGCACGTTTGACTCTTTTCACATTTAAAAAGTCCATTTGCTTTGGTAAGAGTTTTATTGTACAAAAGGTGGTGGAGCACTTGAGGTGTTTTGGTGCTTGGATTATCAGCTGATTCATACAATATCCAAGATTTTCCACAGATTTACCCATCACTTGGGACAGCTGTCATTGTCACTTCTTTGGGACAATTATTGTCATTATCTGTTCACCTCACAAGGACTCACAGAAACAGCAGTGAAGAGAAAGACACCCATGCACCCACTCAATTTTCAATTCAAACGTTTTTTTTGTTCCAAAGGCAATTGAACATTTACCAGACCATATCCTTAGTTGATTTTTACTATTTTAAATGAGTAAACAAGGAAGCTAGAGTGTTGTTCTGATGTTATTTAAAATCAGTGTGTGTTTTTAATTTAGCTTTGTGCAGTGTGATCCTTTGGGGATCCCAAAAGACTCCTGTATAAAAACATGGAGGATGTGAATTCTTACCTGTTTTAATGATATATCACCTATCTTCAGGTGCCCACACCTACATCAGGCATGCAGGTGTAGAAGAGGTTGATTCACCTCAGTACCAGGTTCTTGTCTTTTAAAGGGGCATTTCTGTCTCCTTCCCCTAAATATGATTTGTTATCTATACAGAAAGTTATCTAAGTGCTCTCAGGGCTTCAGATTAGTTATACCATTTCGGGCTGAGATTTGGGTTGGGGGCAATGTTTGACCTGACCCCCAGACTGTTTGTATTTAAATGAACCGCTGAAAATACTGATCAACAAACAGTTGGCTGTGCAAATTTCCAGCTGCAATAATGCAAACAAGGAGCTAGAGATTCTGGGCAATGCCAGGCCCTCTAAGACCTCTTGTATTGACTTGTATTTTAAATGTTCTGTCTCCCTTCATTTTGTAAAGTGCTGCACAAACTGTTGGTTTTCTATAAATCCTGTATAATAATAATTATTAACCAAATATGGTCATGACCATATTAGGTCAGTTATGTCACCCAGGATCTCCTGCCCTGACTACATCAACACAGTGCAGGGATTCTGTCATTTGCAACAGGAGTGCAACAATTGATAAATGATGTAACTGATCATGGATTTACATTGAGGGCATTATATACATTTTTAAAGATTTTTTATTGCATTTTAATTAATTTCTTCCCATCCACCACTTTAAATAGTTTGGAATGCTGGGGGGTGGAGGTTGGGGCAGGAAGGATCAGCAATCACAGTGGTCACATGACTGGGAGATGATCCTTCTGGCTACCAATCTTTAGCCTGGTCTGAGAGTGGTTTCTGACAGCTCAGTCTTTTTACTGAGAGCGCATAGTGAATGCATTCCCAGCACATAAACATTGGCCTACCAGTGATGTATATGTGCAGCATGTGGGTATTATAGCCACACAAGTGTTGGGTGGCTGTAATGGGGTTAAAGGCCTTTTTTTGCTATATTAGTGTGTTTATTTTCAAGTTTCTTTTAATGAATAATAAGGGATACTAACACAACTTGTTCTCATTCTTCTGAGAGGAGGGGGATATCTGGGAGTCCCTTTATTACAACGGGGGTTTCTAGATTCCTAAAAGCCTCCCCTACAATACCTCATATCCTTTTTGAAACAGTGGATGTGGGGAAGAAAATTCCCTAGTCCCTCAGTATAGCGACAAGCTGCCATGCAATTACCTCTAAATGTTGAAAGGCATGGTGCTTGGTCTGATGCAGAATGAAAGACTGTAGGCGCACTATGCTTCCTTTTCTGGACACCAAGGCTGCATGTCTGGATAAAACTCTAGCTGGAATTTTAGAGGGAACCCTGCTCAATTCTTTCCCACAAAAAAATGTTTAAATGTAAATAAACACTCTAGCATTTATAAAAAATAGTTTTTATAAAATTACACATGAATGTAAACAATGTACCTGATGTAAATCTTTTACCAAATCTTCAATTTATTATCAATCATAATGACCCACCAGAAGTGTGCACTGTGTCATGAGTTTTTAGCACAGTAGAGTATTTCACATGCATGGTTTTGCACAGTATATCGCATGTGTATGTGGTTTGATATATACACGTGTTTTCACTTGGGTGAATATTATCGGATTGATTTCACATGTAAATTTTTATTTATAAAGGATAATGCACTATGTATATTTTGTTTTGGTTTTTTTTGAGGTAATCAAGGTTTTGCAAGCAGCGGAGAGTTTTTTACACTTGAATCAATTTTTTGGACTACACGTATTTATTTATTTATTTTATTGTGATATTGGATTTTAATTTGAAATTGGACTTTAATTTGAAAAATTATAGATTTTGGATTTTTGAAATTATTATATAATGAAAAGGTTCCTTTTATTAATTGTCACTGAGCATATTTATATTTATAACAGCTTAATTTGCTAGTGTTCAATCTCCTGCAGACAGGAGTGTAATCTACTTGTCCCAAAATTAATTCTGATCTTGTGTCCCTTAATGAACATTGAATAAATAAGATTGGATTTGGTGTGATTTATTTCACGACAATACTCAGTACAGTACTTAAAGTGGTTGAAAAGGCATTTTCTGCATTAAGGTAAAAATCCTTCCAAGGGCAGCTCCCCCCAGCCCACATAAATACTTACCTTATCCCAGTTTCGAGAGGTGCTGCTCTCTCTCTCACTTCTGGACAGAGAGGCAGCAGCGGGAGCCACTAGCTCCTGCTGCAGTCAGTCAGATCTTGTGGAGAGGGAGCAGGTCCAAGCCAGGCTGTGTGTGCCAATAGACACACACAGCCAAGCTTGGTATCGAGCCTGCATGTGTGCCACCATAGGAAGCAGCTTCCTATGGTGGCACACAAAGAGTACTGGTGGGGGTCCCAGAACAGGCCATGCAAAATCATTGCACAGTGCAGGAAAGTATAACATGTTTGTTATTTAAAAAAAATTAACATTTCAAACTCTTTAATTGTTCTAAAGTATGCTCGAAAAACGTGGTTTTATCCACTCTTGTTTGTTGGCATAATGTAATGTGGCCAGTGGTTGAGGTTGTGAATTAATGGCCTTGCCTTTGAAAACGTGCTTTATTAAAAGACCTTAAAGACACAAGTCATAAAGCTCAGTTTTTGGCAGAGACTGGGTTTGTTCCATTATTCTTATTGGTGGTGTAAAAGGAGTGGTAAGTAATAAAAACACCTTGCCTGCCAGGAAACCTCTCAGGTTTACTACTTATTGATTTAAAATATAATCCATGTTTCAAGAATACTTGGAAGAAATGTTAGTATTTGTCAATCAATGCTTGCTTCTAGTTGTAAAACATTTTAGATGGATAATATAAAAATATGCAAAAGCATCAGTTATCAATGCAGAAAAGTCAAAGTATTTTTTTTTAATGAAATAACTCTGGGGTTATATTATGTGGCCAGTTTAGTTTCTGAAATTGCTTAGCAACTTTTTACTACTCAATTATTACTAAAAGCTTCTAATGGTTATAGCATCTTGTTTTACAATTTCATATACTTCATATTAAGTGTTCATAGAAACATCTCCAGCTTGGGGTATTTTTGAGCTTGTCTTTAAGGAGTATCTCCACTTTTGTTGAGAAACAAATATTCCCCTGTGATCTATGTACATTGCAAGGATTTTAACAAACTTTGTGGCAGATTCCCACCTTTTGTTATTCTGAAGAAAGAGCTGTTTGTTTGTCTGTGTCCATGCTGAAAGTGAATCTAATGGGAGCGGATTCATAATTATCAATCAGCTGCTGAGCCTGCAGAGCTCTAACAAGAAAAATTGCAAGGTCTGCATCCCTTTAGACATAATTTCCTATTGGGAGCATCTCACTATAAATTACATTTTTGTTGCAGGGGATGCCTGAAATCTGACTTGTATCTTAGTGACTTCTGGGAAAATCATTGAGCCAATCATAAGGAGGAAATGATGTTCCTGGGGGTGTTCTGTACACCTGTGAACAGAACACCACCAGGTAGCCATATTGCATTGTATTTTACAGAAAATGACAGTGCTGCAGATTGAAAAGGAAAGGTAAAGTTAACGTTCAATTACAATATTGTGTTGCAATTGTATATGCTATATTACTTTTTTTATTTGCTAATTTTTCCCACCAAAGTGGAGTTACTCTTTAAATTAACACCTCAGATGTACTTAGCACAGATGTTTTTGACTAATCCTTTGATTCCAAAAGCTCCTGTGATCTTCTGTTTAAGAAAATAAAAAAAAACATAATTTGAA